AGAACCCCAGCCTCAGCAGGCCGTCCAGTCAGCAGCTCATGTTAGCACAGCGGGGAAGCGGAGTCTTGCCTACTCACCTTCCCCATCTCCTGAGGTCCTCTGGTCTTCCCACCCCTTCCAGAGTGGGCTGACTGGGGCTCCCTGCGGCCGCATCATTCACCCTGGTCCCCTGCCCGCAGCTGCCACTCAGCTTGCCCCCAGGTGAGTGGGGGCTGTGGTGGAAGCCTGCTTGTTCCCAGTGCCCTCTGTGTGGCGGGGCCAGTTAGTGGCCTGTGGTGCTGGCGTGAGCAGGGTTTCCCATCTGTGCAATAGGTAGGATAAACCAGAGCTACGCGTGCATCCCTTGCTTGGGAACATCACCAAGAGAAGGTGGAAATGTGTGCTGCTCGTGGAACCAGGGGCCTTTGTGCTTTCGTCCCAGAAGAAGTGAGAGCCATAGGGGCTCTGGGAAGAGAAGGGCCCCCTCCTGCTGTCTGGGCAGGCAGAGATGGGCCAGCCCTGTGCCGTGCCCCCAGACCCTCTGTGGCCCTGGCTCTCCAGCTCACCTTCAGCAGACAGATGTCATTGGAGTGCGTAGATGGGTTGTAGTGGGGATGGCAGAAGACCTCCTTGATGCCAAACACCTGCTGTGTGGGCTCAGCGAGCCGCAGGTCATGGGCCCCCAGCACCACCAGCCCGGCACGGGGGTCCCTGCAGGAGGGAGGGGCAGGGGCAGGACTGGGAAGAAGTGGCCTGCCCCAAGGCTCAGCCTCCCCATCTGCAAAATGGGGGTGTAGGGGTCCACCTAATCCTCCCACCAGTCACATGTGCATGTGTATGCTATTCTCTCCTTCTTGACAATCTATAATGTGATATTAATTATTATTAATATTACACATGTAATACTAAGGTGCATCTAATTCAGGCCATGGTCTTTCTGATCACTTTCTGTGCATCTGAGAGCTGGACAGTGAATAAGGATGACAGAAAAGTTGATGCCTGTGAGCTGTGGTGTTGGAGAAGAGCACTGACCATCCCATGGACGGCCAAGAGAACAAGCAGATACGTCCTGGGGAGGGTGCAGCCCGAGTGCTCTTGGGAGACAAAAATGGTGAGGCTTTGCCTCACGTACTTCCAGCATGTTGCTGGGAGGGGCTATTCCTTGAAGAGAGACATGATACTGGAAAATGTGGAGGGCCGGAGAAAGAGAAGACCTTCAACCAGGTGGATTGACATGGTGACTGCTGCAATGGGCCCTAGTGTGTTGGGAAGGGTGAGGATGGCACAGGACAGGACGGGGGTCAGGTCTTCTGTTCATAGAGTCACTAATGGGTCATACTCAACTCAACGGCACCAAACAACAACAAAACTTAGGCAGCTCTGACAGCCTGGTGGTAAGAAGCTGCCCTGCAATCCCAAAGACACTTAGAATCCATCAGCCCCTCCTGGGTGATTTCCTTCCTCTACACCCACTGGAGGGGCAGCTGAGTCAGCTCCCACTCGACAGCACACAACAACAGTACTACTTACTATGTTCATTACTGTTCCAACACCAAGAAATAGTTGCAACATTAATTATTATAAGAAAGTAATGAATACAGTAATCAGTGTAAATATTGATTGCAGCCCTACTGTTAACGGTTACGGCCGCAAGAACAGCCGTGACTGCAGAGCTGCCTTGCTCTTCCGCTGCCCCCCACCACCACCCCCCAGGTCCCTCTGTTCTCTCCTGGGCCTGGAGGCCTCCCCTCCTGCAGAGAGCACAGGGTAAGGGTCAGGCCAGCCCTGTCCCCTCTGTGCTCTGACCTCTACTGGCTGCCATCCGCTCATGTGTGTTGCCCTATGCAAGGTGCTCACCTGTCCCTGAAGCAGTGGGCAGCTGAGACCACCCACTGGGCACGGAGAAGGAAGCCCCCACAGTGGTGCTGGCCTTTGAAGTGCACAGATGCCATGTAGGGACGGGAGTGGGGGGCCACCTCATGCCCCCCGATGATGTGGGTCCCGCAGGAGCCTACAGGGAGGCAGTGTCAGGGACAGGCAGAGGGGGCTAGCAAGATGGGACAAGGGAGCTGGGGTTAGAGAGGAAAGAGGTAGAGACAGACACGGAGACACAGAGACAGATGGACACAGAGAGATGGACCCACAGACACAGAGACACACAGACCTAGAAAGACCGAGATGAGATGGTGAGACTGAGAGACACACCTGGAGACTGTAGGGCTGAAACAAACCCCTAGTGTGTGGGGAGGGGACCCTGGACCCCAGAAAGCCTGGGCCTTGCCCCCGTGGCCCAGCTGGGCTTCTCTCCCACCTCACCAGCTGAGGTTGAGGGCAGTCCAGGTTGCCTGGGGGTCACCTGTGTATCTCAGGTGAGGCCCCTGGATGAAGTGGGGTGTCAGAGGTGGGCGGAAATGCCAGAGAACCTCACCATGGGGCCTGGTGAGCAGCGTCAGGGTGAGAGCAGCCGTGGTCAGCAGCAAGTGGCCCCCGTCCCCCACCTGGAGCCCCATGGCCCTTTGGCAGCAGCGTCTCCTCAGCAGACTACAGGCGGCCTGCACCCCAAAGCCAGCATCTTCCTCTGTGGTCAGCGGGTATAGCCCGCCCCTCAACGTCCCCTCAACACCCGGAAAGGAGTGACAACAGGCCTGCAGCCTGTGGTCAGCCCGAGGTGGTGCCGCACAGCGCAGCTCCTGTACAAAGGCTTCCTGTACTGTTCTCTGCAGTCACCCCACAGTGTGCGGGGCCAGGAACCAGGAGGGAGTGAGGGATGTCCATGGCCCTCGTGTGCCTCAGTGTCCCCTCTGGCACCTGCACACAGTCAGTCCTCAGTGGCCACAGTGCTGGGTCCTGAGTGACGGGGTGCCCTCTCCCCTGCACAGGCTCCACCCCCGGAGCCTTGTTATGCCCGGTGCTGACTGTGAGGACAGTGTGAGGGCCTGGCTGATTCCTGCTGCCTCGTCGACTGCACCGTGCTCCCCCAGACTTCAGTTATGGGGTGCTGGTGTTCTGTAGGTCTGGGCATTGGGTCCATTCTGACGGAGAGCGAGCCTCCACTGGGGCTACACCTCCACGTGAGGAACTGCCCGCCCCTCTTTTCCTTCAGACGTGCTGCCCTTCCGCTCAGGGGACCAGGACCGTCCACTGGGCACCCCCAGGGCTGCTTCCAGGAGGACAGAGCTGGCTGGAGTGCATGGACACGGCTGTGCGCTGGCACCTGCATCGGGGGAATGGATGCTTCTCCGTGGTCCTGGGGGAATGAGATGTCACACAAGTGACACAGGATATGCAGCTGGACACGTGGGCAGTGATGGCTGACAGAGCTGGCCCCTGGTGTGGACAGTGAGGCAATAGTGTGAGTACACAGGGCCTCGTGTGAGAGCCCTCATCTCTGCCCACTGCACCCAGCCCCATGGGATCAGACCTGATAATCGGGGTTTTCTGGAGGAGAGAGGGAGTGTAGGAGAGTGTGCTGGGGGCCCAGCAGGTGTGGACCTCTGTCCAGGATTGGTCTGGTGGCTCCAGGTGAGGCCTGGAGAAAGCTGATGATCCTCCCAGATCCAGGTGAGGCCCGGAGAGCACTGACCATCCTCCCATGTGCCCATGAGACTTGGGGAGCTGGTGGGGTGGAGCTAGTTCTGTGTCCTCCCATGACGGGTTCATTCTAAGTGACCACAGGAGGTGAGTCCTCCTCACACGACACAGTGTCTCACTTGGGCTCTAGGTAGCAGAAGCCTTAGTGGGGTCCCGCTGGACTGGAGACACGGTGGTCCCTCGAGGCTCCAGGAGACCTTCCCTCAGCCCTTGGCGCTGCTGTGTCTGCCCACCTGCCTCCCGTCCGTCCTCACACTCCTCTGTCTGACATGAGCACAAAGTCCAGGTGAGCCTTGGTCACCTCTCGGCTGCGACCATGCGTGCTCTGGGCTGCAGGACCCCTTCTGCCTGTCAGCACCACACCCCTCAGCATCCCACAGAGCTCAGAGAAACCCAGCAAAGTTGCTGCTCCTCCACGTGCTGGTGGGTAAATGGAGGCGCAGACCAGTTGAGGCCTGGCCAAGGGGCCCCTGGGGGAGGCCAGGGCTGTGACCTCAGACCAGCTCCTGCACTCTGCTGCCCCAGGCCACCTGCCCTGCCCACTTCCTTCCTCTCACCGGACAGTTGTGAAACTCCACAAATAACTGCTCCTCTGTGGCCCTGACAGCACATGGCCCGTGCTCCTTTCCTCTCTGAGGTCTGCAGCAGGTTGAGGGTCTGAAGCCCAGTGGGTTCAACTCCTCCCGGGCAGATTTGACAGTGTGGACAGCAGGACAACAGTGGCAGCGGCGCCTGGTGGAGCCCAGTGACAGCCCCGCCGAGTCCTCCGTGGAGACTTGTGATGTGACCTTGTCTGCATAGAGGCTTCTGAGGACGTCATCTGTTAGATAAGGGGTCTTGGTGATGCAGGGGGTCAAGCATCATGTGGTTGACCAAAAGATTGGCAATTCAGGCCCACCAACGATCCATGCAGGGCATCTGGTGGCTGAGTGACAAGGAGCTGTGCTGCAATCCCAGAGATATGCGGTTTGAATCCACCAGATGCTCTGCCGGAGAAGGAGGGGCCATCTCCTCCTGTACCAGTCAGATCCAATTTGATGGCACACACACAAAAAATAATAAAATTAAAAACACACACACACACAAACAACACCAAAAGGCAAGCGGTTAGAATCCCCCAGCCACTCCAGGGAGAAAGAGGAGCAACGGCCACGTGGCTGACAGCCTCTGAGGATGCGGGCCGGGTGGCTATGAGTTGATGGCACATAACAGTGATGGCAGCACATTCTCCAGAGAAAAACAAGAGCCAGGCTCTCCCAAGGATGTGAGCGTGCACAATGGCGGTTCCACCTCGTCCTGTGGGATCACTGAATCAGAAACTCCAGTTATTAAACACTGAGCCTGTTTACTGGTTTGCTGAGCTCTGTGTGTATTGAGGGGATTGGCTTTTTTAAAACAAAAACGAAAACCTAAAAGTGTTGAATATACCATGGACTGACAGGAGAACAAACAGGTTCATCCTCTCTAGGATGAAACCAGGCAGCTCCTTGGAGGCAAGGATTCTGAAGCTTTGTCTGACATACTTTGGGCATGCTGCAGCGGGGAACAGTCCTTGGAGAGGGACGTCATGCTTGGAAGAGTGGAGGGACAGTACAGGAGGGGAAGACCCTTGATGAGATGGATTGATTCAGTGACTGGAGTAATGAGGGTAGGTGTCTCAGAGACAATAAGGTTGGCACAGGATGGAGCAGGGTTCAGGACTCTTGTACATACACAGTGTTGGTGTGAGTCTCAGGCCACTTGACGGCACATCACAACAACAACAAGAACAGGATGGAGCAGGGCTCAGGATTCTTGTACACAGGGTCGCTGTGAGTCGCCTGCCACTTGATGGCACATCACAACAAGCTCTTGATCACGTAATTTCTTTCAATAAGCAAACACCAGGACAAAGGTCATACGCCCTCCCTCTCGAAGTGAGTTCAGATTCTGATTATCTGCGGATGCAGGAACAGAGGCTGGACAAGCCAGAGCTGATGGCCTTCCCTGCTTACCTGGAAAGACTGGGATTCCCAGGGCCAGTGCAGGGCAGCAGGACCACAGGGGTCAGAGGTCAGCATGCTGCTCCAAACGGCCCAGGAATTGGAGGCCAGGCCTGTGGGCTGGGGGGACACGGGATATCTCTCCTGGAAAGCTCCTTGCCAGCCTGAGTGTGGTGTCCATTCGGTGCCAAGGCCTGGCCTGATGTGAACATGTGGTCCCGTTAGGCCTGGGGTGGGGTGCACAGTCGTGCTGCATGACTGCACAGCCCCCAGCCAGGGATGCCGTTGGCATTGGGAAGGGGCTTAGGGAAGAGTGACTGGCTTTCCCATCAGGCACTGTGGACCCAGCAGTAGAGACAGTGGGAGGACAGGGGTCCACACTGCTTGTGGGCAAAGAGGTGAGAGGAAGTTGTCTGGGCTACAGGGCACTGGGAGCCATGGAAGGTGTTTGAGCAGGGACAGCTCTGGTGAGAGTGGACTGGGGAGAGGGGCCCGAGTCAGGGAGGTGGCAAAGCCAGGGCACAGGGCCTGAGCTGGACCTGAGGTGGGGGGGGCGTTACGGCTCCGGAGAAGAGAGAAGTGGTTTCGGGCGGCACAAAGCCCAGTATGGGACCTGCTGGTCGCAGGGCTCCCGGTGGGGAGAGGTGGGCTGGGCGGAGCCGTGGTGTGGAACACCTCCTAGAGACGAGCAAAAACAGCCAAGGAGTTGGGAGGGGAAGAGAAGTCGCCCTGGAAACCGTGATTTCGAGGGGTCCGGGAAGGGGAGGAACCCGTGCCCCCGAGAGGCGGGACCAGGGGCGGAGCCTGCTTTTTCCGAGCTGGACGGGCTGCACTAAGGAGCCGCCGCCGCCGCCGCCGCCGCCGCCGCCGCCGCCGCCTCTCGCCCGGGTTGCATCCTGAAGGGCTGCTTCCACCTTCCCGAGCCCAGCAGTCCCAGCTCTGCGGACCCAGAGAGAGCGAGTGCGCGCTGTGTCTGGGAGTGAGGATACGTGGGGCTGCTGGTGCAGGGTCTGGAGAAGTATGGGGAGGCGCCTGGAGAGGTTAAAGCCCAGGGGAAGTGGGGGAGCCTGGGGAGGTGAGGGGAGCCTGAAGAGGAGAAGAGGGCCTGGGGAGGTGAGAAGACCTGGGAGGTGGGAGGCCTAGGGAGGGCCTGTGGGAGATGAGGGGGGCTTGGGGAGGGTGTGTGTGGGTGAGGGGGTCTGGGAACGCAAGGGACCTGCAGACTTGGGGGTTCTAGGGAGGTAGGGGTACTGAGGAGATGGGGGCCTGAAGAAGTGGGGGTCTTGGTGAGTTCAGGGGCCCAGGGAAGTGGAAGGGCTTATGAGAGGTGGGGAGCCTGGGGAAGTGTGTTCGTCTAGGGAGGTGGAGGGGCCTGTAAAAGATTGGAGCCTGGGGAGTTGAGGGCCTGAGAAGGTGGGGAGCCTGTGAGAGGTGAGGGGGTCAGTAGAAGGTGAGGAGCCTGTGGGAGGCAGGGGTCAGGGGAGGTAGTGGGCTTGGGGAGGACCTGTGGGAGGTGAGAGGGCCTTGGCCTTGGGAGATGTGGGCCTTAGTGGGTGTGCGCCTGGGGAGGGCCTGTAGGAGGTAGGGACCTGGGGAGGACCTGGGGGAGGTGGGCGAGGGCTTGGGAAATGGGGGCCTGGGGAGGACCTGGACAAGACTCCCAGTGGCCACTCTACTTACCATGTCCTCCTTTCCCAAATTTTTAACTTTTTTAAAAAAAATTTTCTTTTAAAAACAATTTTTGAGACTAGTGGCCCACATACAGGTGACCCTTGAACAACACAGACTTGAATTTTGTGTATTAGGTTTTGTGTTGACGGCACACAACAACCCATAAGTCCAGTGTGTGGACAAGTCCGTCCTGTCAGCACACTGGGCGGCTGTAATGTGGCCTGTACTGCTCCAGTGCCACCTTCCCCTCCGTGTTGGGTGATGTCTCCGCAGTGGAGGATGTGGTGCCTGAGGCTGAAGTGCCCTGGAATCAGGGGACAGTCATGGCAAACGAGTGAGTCCAGTTGCTTGCTGCTTCTCTCTGTTCACCCAAGGGCGTCACCTCTCAAAGGGCAAAGGCCACCCACCAGCCCTGCTGTGGCCTGATGGTCATGCAACTCTGAGCACACGTGCTCAGCCTATTTCCACTCCTGGCCTCCTGCACAGGTGCTGGGGCTGGGACTTCGGCTGCTCCTTTTGGGGGACATGGGGAGAAAGGGCTTCATGGCTGGGATCTTCACTGAAGCAGCTGGTGAATTTGAATCCCTGAACTCAGCTGAGCACTTAACCTGTGTGTTAGTAGAACTGCGGCCACAGGCTCAGAAATGCCTAGGGCAGGGGCAGTGAGCCATGACCCTTTTTGGCCAATGTAGCCTACTGCTTGTTTTTTTAAAATAAAGTTTTATTGCCACATAGCCTGCCGGTTCATTTGCATATTGTGTCTGCCTGGTTTGCGGCCAAAGGCAGAGTTGAACAGTTGAAACTGAGACCATCAGCCTGCAATGCTGAAGATGTTTACACTCCACCCTTTACAGAAAGCCATGTGTCAGGCTCTTGCTGGTATGTGCTGGCCATTCTAAGTCTTCAGTGCCGGCTCTGCTGACCCCCCTGGTAGCCCAAGTCCTTGGGAAGTAGGGGGTCACAGAGTGTCGGGGTAGGGTTCCAACTCTCATGTGTCTCAACTATTTTATTTATGCCAATTTACCTTATTTTTAATGAGGTGCTGCAAAAAAAAGGGGGAGCAAAAGCATGAAATGAAAAGGCACCTTGCTTCCCCCAAGTTCCAACCCTGTCCTCTCAAGGCCACTCTTGACATGGTCCCTTAAACACACACTATTTACGACTGCTATCAAGAAATCAGAAACAAATCACACTGGGAAAATCTGCTGTCAGGAGGGACCTCTCCAGAGTGAGGAGATGCAACAGTGTCATTCTAGAGACTAAGGTGTGCCTGATTCACAATTACTTGCTATGCATCAGAGAGCTGGACAGTGACTAAGGATGATGGAAGAATCACTGTCTTTGAGTTGTGCTGGAGAAGAGTGGAATATACCATGGACCACCAAGAAAACAAATAGGTCTGTCTTGGAGAGAGTGAAACCAAGTTTCTCCTTGGAGGCTAGGATTTTGAAGCTTTGTCTCACATACTTTGGGCACATGGCCAGGAGAGTCCAGTCCTTGGAGAAGGACATCATGCTTAGAAGGGTGGAGGGACAGCACAGGAGAGGAAGACCCCGGATGAGATGGATTGATACAGGAACTGGGGCAATGGGGGTTGATGTGTCAGAATTAGTGAGACTGGCTCAGGACAGGGCAGGGTTCAGAGCTGCTGTACATAGCGTTGCTATGGGTCACAGGTGACTCAGAGGCACCTAACAACTGCATTACTATCAGGGATCCAGCCCCGATATGTCGGGAGAATTCCACCAAAAGGAGGCACCAGGTTGAAATGAAGATGCGGAGAGGCTAATTGCTGATGACAAATAGCAAGTTTAATATTCTGGCAAGGGTATATATACACATCTTAGGAACATGCCTGCAGGGATAATCGCATTATCTCTTAGCTGAGATGTTGACTGGTAGATCAAACATTCCCAGACATTCACACAAAACAAAGACATCTTCTGGGATATCCTATGATATCTATTGGAAAACAAGAAAGTATCACATTCCTAGAAATCTGAGACCTTTGGTCACTTCTTATTCATTAGCATACTGCTTCCTGGAGTTGCTTTCTGCAGAACAGATGGTCAAGCCAAGATAGGTGGTCCTGCTGTTTTTACAAGGTGTTGCTGATCTTGCTTTGCAGGTTAGCCAGCTCCTGACAGCTCCTCCCTCTTAATATAATAAAATATGGGATGCTGCGTCTCTTAGGTGGATATGAGACCTCAAACTCAAGTTGCCCGTCTTTGGGATCATAGCAGTCAATGCTACTCCCTGTCTTAGGATCATGAGCGAGTCTCGTTCCTTGCCCGTCTTTGGCTACACATCCTGCATTTGTCTGGGGAGGGCCTTAAGTTGAATTCCATGCACTTTACACAGCAGTTCTTTATAACGCTTGGCTATTATATGACCAACACAAGGGAGGACCCATAGTATACCTATGATAACAATACAAAGAGCAACAATCGTGAAAAGAAGATTTCCAAATGAAGTTACTGAAGGAAACCAGTTTTTAGATTCTCAAATATTCGACCAGCTTGTTCAGCTGGGGAAATATTTATAACTGGGGTATTCTGCATTTCTATAATTCTTTGATGCAGATCATACAAATCAAGAGAATCATTATTAGACATCCAAATTTCTTTTGAATGTGATACTATTTCTGTCCAATCATTATCTGAGCCATTGTGTTATAATTTTGTAACACAGGTAGAGTCATAGGCCACATAGCATCTTAACTTTCCTATCATTCTAATTTGTTGTACCATGTTTCCTAATACATTTACTATATCATATAAAGCATTTAATTTTGTTCCATAACTTCATCCACATTCTCTTGCTCTACCCAATTTTTTGTCACATCATGCATTAACCCATTTACAAACTTAGTCGTTTGGACTTCTAGATTCAAAGCTACAGCAGAAGTAGAAACAGTAGCAATCATAGAGTTAAGAGAAACAATTCCTACAGTAACCAGACCTACAGCTCTTTTGGTTCTTAATGACAACTTATATAACTCTATTAAAATTTGCAAGCCTTTATCCTCATACCAAATATCATTTAACTTTACTGGTGTCATAACAAAAGGAGGATTCTTTCTAAACAACTGAATCGTCTTTGGTAACAGAGCTAATACAGTTAGAAATTTTATACCGAGAACAATTCACATTATATTTCAGATAATCACCAGTGATAACATTATTACCAAGCAATAAGGCATATGGTTCAGGTACACATGACAGGACTTTGGCGTTTTTGTTACATTATCTCCCTTACATTTATCTTTTGGGATACAGGAAATATTTATCGAATCCATGCTGGCAACTAATTTCCACAATTCGGTTTGAAAATTCTTCATATCAATAGTCCAAATTTCTTCTCCTGATCCTTAGCTTTGCTTTATTTGATGGAGCTCAATTGTACAAATTCAAATCTGCAGTAACATTTTTCTCCAGCTGAGAGGGTGAAGTAAAGGTAGATCTGGAATGTATGTCCCTTAAGATTCAGCTTGAATCGTTGTTGTCAAAGTCAGCAGTATCGCCATCTTTATTTCTGTCATGCACAACATCTTCTGCAGAGTGTACTAACTTTTCAGGGAGGCACTTTGCACTTTCAGAGTTCTGTGGAAAAACACAAACATAGCCTCAACCCCATATTAACACAGGGTCTGGTCTTTTTCATTGTTTTGTTAATGCATCCTTCCATTTAATTTCAGCATACTTTTATTGTGTGTTTCACCATTGTCTGTCTGTGGCAGACCTTTTATTGTCATCCAAAATTAAAAATTTAAAATAAATTGTAAATGAGAAATGTAATTATTTGAATTTAGGGGATATAGTATTCCAATAATTCCCCCTTTTCTGTTTAAATAATTTTTGATAGTAGAAAGAGTACATTCTATAATCCCTCGTTTTTGAGGATAGTAAGGAAACTCAGTTTTATGACAAATAGTAAAATATTTACAAAAATTTTGAAAACTCTTGCTGGTATAGCTAGGAGCATTATTAGTCTAGATTATTTTAGGAATATCTAATATAAAAAAAGCGAATGAACAATGTTTTATAACATATTTAGTTGCTCTTTCAGATAAATATTTATTACCACAAACCCAGAACTGATATTAATAATAGCATGAATAATTTAAATTTGGGACTGTGGGCCGCATTCACTTGTCAAATATAGTTTGGCAATAATCCTCTAGGACTCACCTTAAAATGTGGAACAGGTAATAAAGACAAACATTTTTCACATGATTTTACAATATACTTAGCAATTTCTTCCAGAATATGAAACAGCCCATGTAAATATTTACTATTAGCATAATGACTATGATGAAATTGTTTTGCTTTTGTTAACTTAAAATTTATTAAACATTTATTAGCCAATTTATTTTCTTACACTAAAGGTCCTGGTAAAAAGAAT